ACTAGCTTACAGTAACTTAGAGTACTCTTAAATCGGTGTTTGGTGTTTTTTGCCTTTATGTTATTTGTTTTGGTGCTGCGTGTCGTTATATGGAGTCAATCAATTTTCAACTGATTTTGACAGCTTTTGAATTCTTATGTTGTGCTTTTACATCAATGTGCAATGTAAAGGATTTGAGCACTCACAATAATGTTTTATCCGGCCACGTTTTTATGTGCCTATCCTAAGCCAGGAGCTTATTATTCCAGGATGTCGTTAGTTGCTGTTCGTCATATTTGCTTTTCGTTTATTATTTTATTATAAATAATGCCTTTGGTTTTTACGTTTGAATTGGTTAACTAATCATCTAGGGAGATAAACAGCAGAGATCATAAGTTCATATAATCATGTCAATTGTTAACTATCTTGTGACGTTCATATTTGTAACATTACATTCACTGACAATAATGCTTTTATAGATTTTGAATTCTATAATTCTAACGTTTTTGCAAGACGAATGGTTTAATTAATCCCCATACGACTCATATTTGTTTTTATAACTTCAGGTTTTGAAACAAATGTCATGTGCAATTTTATTTTTTTATCAAGTGAAAAAGACTACGAAATAAAGTGTTGGCCTAATTGTAATTGTATAAAAGTTCCAATAACTTGATGAAAACCCTAGATTGAAATCTCTAGTTGTATATGAAGGATTAATTTTTGTTTGATTAACGTTAATCGATATTTATAACATAATGAAAGTGTTTCTCGATGGTTCCTACTATACTTTAGATGTAATTTCAAGTGATGTAGAACTTCCGTACACTACACGAAAGACACAGGCGACACTCTTCGTATATTACTCACCATGAACCAACTTTTAGCTCATATTTATTAATAACATAAACAGTACCAATTTTTCTGCACCAGATGCGCATTTCGACAATCAATGTCTCTTCAGTGATGCTCGAGGCCAAAATGTTTGAAAATCCAAAGCTTATTAAAAATATGAAGAGCTATAAACAAGAAAAGGACCAAAAAGTATAGCCAAAGCCGGGAAAGGAATCAGAGCTTTGCATGAGGGAGATAAATTCCTTTATTTTAAATAATTTCCAAAATTTTGTAACAGCAAATTTTAATAACATAAAATCCTTATTTCCATGCCAGTACCAAAGTACTGGATACTGGGCTGGTGATGCCCTCGGGGACTATCCACCAGCAGAGGCATCGACCCAGTGTTAACATAGATCATAAAAATTCAAAAACATGAAATCCTACAATTTTTATCGGTCATAAGAACTTTACTTCATTTGTACATAATTTAATTTTGGATGAAACACATGTTCTGATTGACTGACAGTTTTTAGTCTATCAGCTCATATACGTAATTTTGTCACGAAATCGTGACGTCACCAACGTTTTTTCATGAAACACTCCTTAAAAATAGAATTTAGAATTAATTTATAAGGAATGACTGTAATATTTTTTTCTGTCTATTCGAAAAAACCTTAAAAATGTGGTGCACACTTTTGAATAACCCACACCACATTTTTGATGCTATTTCTTCATAGACAGAAAAAAATATTACAGTCATTCCTTAAATATATTCTAATACTTTATTACAAAAGATGAAACCTGTCATTGTCTTAATATTGAATTGATATTGCTGACAGATATTGTTAAAATGATCATCTAGTGTTTGACTCATCAATTCAATGAGCTAAACCTGAAATAAGGTGAGTGAAACATTATTGAAAGTGATATAGTAAAACGTGTTTGTTTTTCTTAATATAGGATATTAATCCATGCAATCCTAACCCGTGTACAGAGGAGTCTAACTGTATGCTATCAGTTAGTGGTGGATTCTATTGTCAGTCTTTACGTGAGTAAATGTTTACAAACAGAAGTTCCGTTTGTATCTTTTTTTTTATAAATCCGAAGATCAAATTTAGAATGCTGTTAAACCACTTCGCATTCAAATACCGATCCTCATGGGTAGTCAAGGTCGTTAAACACCCCATAGTAGTAGTATCAAATATGATTTGCGCAATATTTAGTGTAGTTGTTCAATTCATACAAATGATGATATATTGACCTAAAGAAGAGTCATTTAATTGCTTCATCTGCTTTCCTTTCGTATGAAAACAACCAATGCCGTATAAAAGCAACCCTGGTCATTTGAAAGCAACCAAATATTATAGAATCATTAGCTCCGCTTACCTAAAACAAAACGCATCAAAGATAACAGGCGTATAACTTTGTACACCTGATTCGCGTTTCGTCTACAAAGGCTTATCAGTGACGTTCGAATAAAAACAGAAAAAGGCCAAATAAAGTACGAAGTTGAAGAGCATGAAAAGTAAAAAAAATCTGAAAGGTTTTGCCAAAATCAGATAAGGTAATCTATACCTGAGCTAAAAAATCCTTACTTTTTTGAAGTTTTGTAATCAGTTATTTTATAAATATGACCATATCAATGATAATTCATGTCAACACAGAAGTGTCGACTTCTGGATTAATTAGTCAACAGTATTTTTTCGCATTGTTCGTTTTCTTCAAGTTCTTACAATTTCTAATCACTTGGAACTAATAATAATTAAATCGCAATGAAATAAAACAATGTCATCATATAAAACTACATTTCTACATATTAACAATAAGAATAGCAAAAAAAAAAAAAAAAAAAAAACCAAAACGTGTGTAACATTCTGTTTCTTTATTTGCTTTCCTAGATAGTATAATTATATCATAGTGTGTTATCTATTTCTCATTATCTGCTCCTGCTTAATGGTTAATGAATAATGATACTATGTTGTATCGATGACCCAAACCAACCCGTCCCAGAAGTCAAATGATTGTTCAATACTCAGATTTGTAAAACGACATACTCACCAACTATTCATTCCATTTTACACAACATTTAGTATCTACATGGCCCTTGCCGTTTTAGTTTTTGAGGCGGCGATAATGTGTTACACTAACAAATGAGATTTTGTATTCTGTTTATCGTTATTCAAATTCCTCTCTTTGACTCGGAATGTATATAAATATTATTCCCCCTCACTCTGGGCAATAATGGTGGTATTTTACAACCAATAATTAAATGACTTTGACACGTTTGACGAAGGGGAACTTTCTGTTGTTACTATTGTCTGTAGCTTTAGCTCTTCAACTGTTTCGGTTCTTATACATCCTTGGCTTTCAAATATTCGGCTTTGAGCGTTCCTGATTAAGGTAAATCCAGAAAAGCGCTTCGGACACATGAAATTTAGAAAGTGTTGTTTTCAATTGTTTATTCTATACACAGGTATACAGTGTGCCAACAGGATAGCGCGTACAAAATCTGTATTGCCAGTGTAAAGATTGAACATCATGAACTGTTAGTGGAAATATCATATCTGTAAGCATTTACTTCTTTCTTTACAGTACAACCTTGCACAGGAATTGTGTGCCAACATGGTGGCACGTGTAAAAACGGACTTTCTTCTTTTGTGTGTCAGTGTACAGTTGGAACATCTGGAACTTACTGTGAAAGTACTATAACATTCTTTTATTTGTGTCTTGTTTTTCGTTTGATAACATTTAAAAATGTTAAAGCAAAAAATAAACTTCAAAAAATAATTATATCTTTACTACACGCATTTCCAAAAACAGTTGTTATATGTAAATACTTATTTAGTTTTTATGTAACCATAATTTCCTTGAAATCTCCTTTAAATATCATATCTAAGCGAAAAGGAGTTTAAAATAACTCCTTGTTGTACGAGAATATGATATACTTATATATTTCAGCAACACCATGTTCGTCGGATCCATGTTTAAATTCAGGAACATGCAGTTTCTCTGGAACAACGTATTCTTGTACATGCACACACGAATATTACGGTACACAATGCCAGTGTAAGTTAACACAAACGTTATACGTAAAAGTATGTGCTGCATAGAGCGTTCCCATTTCTGAGCAACCAAATCAAATGCTTGATATATTTATTGACAGCTCAATAATATCTGTCTACAAAATAGAAACTAAAATTTTAGATAATGTACGTCTTAACATTGCTATGGCTCACTATAAATCTATGAATAAGACTTCGACTGCGGAGATGCACAGTACAGATGGTACGTTTGTATATTTTAAGTAACTTGGATGCTGTACATTATAGTTACAATGTATTAACTGACGTATATATATGAATTATACGTATAAAACCAGTGTTGTCATTCTTGTGAACAATCCATTAATAATGTTTACGCTTAACAGGAACAGAGAGGGTGCAGAATTTTTTAAAGTGGAGGCTTTCATAAAGTTTAAAAATGTAGTGATGTGTTACACACATGTATGACCTTAGTTTTAAGAGCTTAAGTTTACGACATCTATTTCCACTCATGAACATGCACAGCGGTAACATTGATAACACTGTCCTCATCATATCTTGTTAATGCATTTACTCAAGGGTGAGGCATCTCAAAGACCCACCGTCTTGAATTTTACACTATATTGACACGTCTATAGATACCTATCTAACAATTCTAATCAGTGTACATCGATATAACTAAATGATATACGACCACAATTCAAAATGAATAAATGGATATTGGCAATGTTGATTTAGATGCTCTCAGAAAAAAATTAACATACGCATTTATGGCCAATTGTGAACAACAAAATACCACTACAATCCAATTTTTCGAGTGATTTTCATAATTTCGTCATTCTATGCTATAATTTCTAATGAGCAAGTCAAAGTAGACAAAATCATGTGTACTTATGTTTTGTCGGACTAGCATACTCTCTTCATTAAACAATGATACCATATTTAACTTTTTCTTCAATATTTGTTGAGATATTTTTTATCCCTATATGTTTACTCGTTGATGACACATTATCTAATGCAATTGACATTTGTTGTATATTATTTGATTAAAATGACAATAATCAAATAGTTGCTTATGTTTTACATGTAACAACAGTACTTATATCTTCTTATATATTTAATGTATTCGGTTGTAGCACACGCATGCTCACCAAATCCATGTCTCAATGGCGGTATTTGTACATCTACTGGCGGATCGAGTTACAGCTGCGATTGTTCATCTGGATGGTATGGATCAACTTGTAACTGTGAGTATTTCAGTTTTAGATTAAGCCGAAACAACTGTACGTGACATCGGGGACACAACAGAGTAATATGATGACATTCGTTACATGACCTAGTATTGTCAACATTCAGCTAATAAACGATAATTAGAGACTATGTTAAGGCCCCGGAATGATCAGTTATTATTCCTTTTTATTTTGTATATAAAATCTTGCAATTTTCAATAGGAAATTGAAAGTTTAAAGTTAACCCACATTTTACTTGCATTATTTCACCTAATGGAAAATTTGTAGAAATATTGGTATCAAATATAAGAATTTAAACCATTGCAATGACAGACCTGTCAACTTTACCGATTTATGAGGGATATCCCCATGAGAGGTGTTGACCTGAATTTGAAATTCTTAATTTTATAAACTGAAGACCTCAAAACAGGCATTCGAATGAGTTAAAAGGTTTTTTAAGCACATACATACTCATTCAAACAATATAATTGTAGATTAAGAACATTTATGACAATATAAGAGGGGCATTAGGACCTCTTGCAATTAAAATCCCCTATGGAGACTTTGAAAAGATGGTAGGTATGCAATGAAAATATAAAAGTATAACATTAAGGTATTTATAAAGACATATTACACTCTCTGCATCCATTCACTGATCTTAATGGTGGCATTGGTTGCGTATAGTTCCTATTGAAACCCATTTTTTCACAATTTCCTATGACGCTATCTGGCCAATTTGAACGATACTTTGCGGGAACGATATATGAAAGGTTTTCTTCTGCAAACAATTCCAATTTCAATTTACTCGATCGAAAATCAAGGCAGTTGCAGGCATCACCCGCCATGCGATTCCACGCTCATTCAATTTGTCACAATTTGTAATAGGACACAACGGTAAAATTAAAGATTAGACGTATTCATGTGACATCAAATTTAACACTTTAGCTAGATATGAGTTACGCATAAACTAGACGTGTTCAGCTATTAAAAGGAAAAGAATGTCAATATGAAAGTGAAGCATGGGTAAACCATTTGGTTGACAGATTCGATCCACAAAAACTCCTTCTTATACAGGTAAAAACGACGATTAACGTATTTTTTAACCCATGATATGAAATCAAATAGACATAGAAAAATCCAATTGCACGTGTTCGCTATTTATTTATTTATATCTATATTTATGTTTATGTTTATATCGGGTTATATGACCGTCGGCAGTCTTCGGAGGTCATATAACCTCAATTAGATAGCGTCTCTATATTAAAATACACACGAAATGATGATACATATTATCGAATCCATGCATCGTAAATTGTTTATTTCAGATTTTTTATAATTTGGATGTACGTTTTAGTATGTTTTAAATCAAAAAGGAGAATTTGAGTCAAATCAGTGAAAATGAATTTGACAGCTAATGCCCCTTTAATTTACTGATAACTTAGCAAAATCAATATTTATACCAATAAAAACAATATTCAAAGATCTTATTACAGTGTTGAATTGGTAACCTTTTAGAATAAGTTTATTCAAAGGATTGAAAAGTTTACCCGGATCGTATCTAAATTTCCGGGCTAAGTAAACAACACTCCCGTAATAATTATAATGTGCTTTTTCGTTTCAAATAAGTTTTCAACAGGTACAGCCAAACTTGCGCACCAAATCTTTGTATCTATGGAATAATTTAGTAACGGTTTTAAGTAATTTGTGTTAACGAAATCCCGGACTTAATAATTAGCCAGTTATATATAGATTACGCTTATTGAAATTTAAAACGGTGGAGTGGAGGGTATTTATTGCTGAGAAATGGGAATTTGACAATGGAAAGTTGAAATCATCACGTTTGTCATATATATTATAGTTTAAAGAAGTTAATATGTGTCAATATTGAGGAAAAGATCAATATATTAAGCTGCCTTTCAAGATTTCGTAGGTTCGTAATCTAAAGTTCAGTGTGATCTTAGCTTTATAGATTATACTTTTTATTGTATTCTGTTTGTAGCACACGCATGCTCACCAAATCCATGTCTCAATGGCGGTATTTGTACATCTTCTGGCGGATCGAGTTACAGCTGCGATTGTTCATCTGGATGGTATGGATCAACTTGTAACTGTGAGTATTTCAGTTTAAGATTAAGCCATCGGGTACACAACAGAGTAATATGATTTTAAACCATATAAAAATCGGTCCTGATCTTGATAGGTGCACCAAGGCGGCGAACTGAAAAGCTTACACCTGATAGCCAATATGTTGACATATAAGGGGTACTAACCGTTACATGTGTTAATCAAGAAACAGATAAGAGTATATAATGAAAGGTATATAAAACTAGCAAGTTCCGTTCTCTAATACCAAAACAAAAGACTTTTTATTGTCAAAACAATTAACAGCAAACATGGTGCGAGTAACAAGTAGTATGCAGGACAGTTCGTCCAGGAAAACACACGTCAATATTTAATTTAGCGTTTAAAACGGATGGATTGCACAAAAGGATTTTAATCTACAACCTTTCCAAAATGAGATATAATGAAGATGTATACAACCAAGAGAAAAATGTTTTATAAGCAATCATTCCTGCTGGCATGTAATAGGCAAAATTTACCCCAAACACATGCATACGTTCTACAGCTTCGATACAACATAAGAAACAATTCCAGTCATAAATCACTTGTTAGAAATAACGAACTTTCTTGTCTTTTTTAATCTGCACATTTTCATGCATAGTTTTTGAATTGTTAATGAAATGCTGCCTTAATCTTTTTAATGCCAGATACCGGAGTGATATTAGATTATTCTTTCCAATATTTAAGACCGTTTTGTCATTGCTGCATCATCAAATTTGAATATGTTTCCAGAATCATTGACATGTAATGGTGAATTCTATTTAAGTATGAATTATAGCTGAACAATTATTTTCCACATTTTTCAATTTCATTTTTTTCGATCTTACACTCATGCATATTTCTATAGAATGTCTTTTGTCATTGGTTCTATTTTAGCAAACCCTTGCTCTCCAAATCCTTGTAACAATGGAGGGATATGCACTGGAACTGGAGCCACCTCTTTTAATTGTGCATGCACCTCGAGTTTTACTGGTACTACTTGCCAAAGTATGTTTTATTTTATCGCCCTTTAATGCAACTATCAACCGTTATATGTTTGTTTGATATTTTTACATTATTCATTTTAAATGTTCCTATAAGGGAGCAACCATTTAACTTTAAGGGGCGGGGGTTATGGTTTTTTGTCTGTCAGAAAAAAAATCGCGCTTGTTTTAGTTTTTCGACGCTATCAATCAAATTGTTTATTCAAAATTTAGCACTATAAGATATGGGGAAAATCTGGATACAGAATGTTTTTTTTGTCATCTGCTTGACCACAATATATTTTTCATCAAATTGGGGATCAGAATATTTTTTTTAGGGAAAAACCATAACCCCCCCCCCCCCCCCCCCTCTTGAAGTTAAATGGTCGCTCCCTAACTTGGTCGGTGTTATCAAGTTTCTATGTTGTATTACGTATAGTAAACGACTATATTTTTTTCGCCTTATTTGAATTCATCGTTTCCTTCAGGCCAAATTCATCTTAATCGTAAATGGCTTTGACTACTTTGTTTAGGTCTATTTTAACTACACATACATCTACGTGTTTAATAAAACAATATAAATAAGAAGATGTGGTATGAGTGCCAATGAGACAACTCTCCATCCAATTCACAATGTATAAAAGGTTAACAATTATAGGTCAAAGTACGGCCTTCAACACGGAGCCTTGGCTCACACCGAACAGCAAGCTATAAAGGGCCCCAAAATGACAAGTGTAGAACAATTGAAACAGGAAAACCAACGGTCTAATCTATATAAAAAACGAGAAACGAGAAACACCTATGAACCACACCAACAAACGACAACCACTGAACAACAGGTTCGTGCACATCAAACACAGAACAAAGTACATGGTTTTAATTCAAATCAACAATAAGTCGTAGCTTTGCTGCATTTCTGGTACATTTTGTCTTTAAATCTATATGTCTTACAAAAAATACTTCGGGGAATATATTTACTTTAATTTCAAATAAGAACATATATGTAAATTTATTCGGAACTTTTCTAGACTCTGGGGATTTTCGGCATGGCTTCTATTCTTTCTTGTTGAAGATCGGTTGTGTGTTTCTTGGTTTTTGTGTCGGTGTATTTGTGTCTCCTTGTATCCATATGTAATGAATATTTAGACAAGAAATCAAGAGCATGAAAAACAACAATCGCATTGACATTATTAATTAATTTCTATTATTTGATTACATGAAAAACAGACAATTTTATGAATTTTACAACTAGCTTTCACAAAATTTTATTTTATTTTAGAAAAGCTAATACAAGTTGCAAAATGTATACAATGTAGCCTCCTTATATGTGTTATTTCAGGCAATAAGAACTCCTGCTACGGTCGATGTTCATCTTACAGCTCTAGTCACAACTGCCAATGTGATTCAGCCTGCACTGGACAAAGTGACTGCTGTGCTGACAAAGCAACATATTGTTCATAACTGTCGTAGCATTGATGAAGTGACATATGAATAGCTATTGTGACTTGGATTTATTCCCTTATAATTGTTATACTGTTTTGTTTAGAGTATTGATGTCTCTGATACTATTGAGATGATTGATCGACATCTTTTATATAAAACAATAGGCTTGGTTTACTCCCGCTTCAGTTTGTTCTCCAAAAAGAAGGAAAAAACCCCCCAAAAAACCAAGTAAATAAGACAAAGAAACGAATTGAATACAAGGGTACATGTATATATGTTATCTTTGGTCCATTTCATTAATGTTACTGTAAATGTTGATTAGCGTTATTTATTAAGTTTTCTTTGGATCTCGTTAAAAGAGATATATACGTATATAGGGTCGAGTTCCCCTTATTTCATTCCTCACTTATGTAAAAATAAGAAGCTGTGGTATGATTGCCAATGAAACAACTATCCACTAGAGATCTAAAGACGGGGATGTTAACTTACATCTATAGGACACTGCACAGCCACTTTCTAAAAAAAAAACTCTTTATACTTTTTCTGAAATTCACAATATAACAGATTCATATTTTTACTTTGAACTTCTTAGAGCATTATTGCGTATTTCTAAACGTGTGACAAAATTAACGATGCCTGAATATTGCTAAGAAAAGCAATTTTGAATTATTTTTTTTTTACAATGTTGAACATTGTTTGAATATTTAAAAAAAAAAGAAGAAAAAGTAATTTTGTTGGAAAAAAGAACAAACATTCGCAATTACCGTATGTAAAGGCATCAGTCAGTAGGGATGTACAAAATCCCTATACACAATTATAATACATATATTTTAAATAATGATAAATATTCAGAAGTAATATCATCATATGAATATATATTTTTTCTTTGTAAAAAAACTAACTTTTCCTTGAATTCATAAAAATCTTTCGACAAATAATATTCTTACGTTACTAGTATTCGAGAGTAATCTACTGTTATTTTAAGTCGTAATATGTTTTGCAGAAAAAAGCCCCGTACCTTGATATCTAACAAAACAAAATTTGAATCATGAAGTCACATAAAAGACTGAAACGATAAAAATTTCCTGAATATTTGAGAATCATGTCACATGCGAAGCAAAATTTAAATCAAATTGATATCCAATCCGTGCATTCCTTATAATTATTTAATAGGTTGAGACATACAGGCATACAAGGAGGAACAGGAATAGTCCAACTAACAAATTATAAGGTTCATTCATTACAATTATCCCATACCGTTGCACAGTCGGGGGTAGTTGTAGTGAAAAATACTCCCAGTGATTAATAAAACAGCAAAATAGAGCATCAAGAATAATTTTAGATGCCCATTTCTATACGCCATCGAGAGAACATTTGACATATTACATTGGTTTAGTTTTCGAGACAGAATTTCATATTATAAATTAAGTTATAGATAATATAAAAATAAGAAGATGTGGTATAATTGCCAGTGAGACAACACTCCACTAGAGACCAAATGACATAGAAGTTAACAACTATAGGTCACCGTAAGGCTTTCAACAATGAGCAAAACCCATACCGCATAGTCAGCTATAAAAGGCCCCAAAATGACAAATATAAAACAATTCAAACGAGAAAAATGACGGCCAAATCTATGTACAAAACAATGAACAAAAAAAAAATATGATATACAGCAACAAACGACAACCACTGAATTACAGGCTCATGACTGAGGGCAGGCACATATATAATGTAGCGGAGTTTAACATGTTTATGGGCGCCACACCCTCACCTAACCTGGGACAGTGGTGTAACAGCTCAACATATGAACAAACTATTAAAACTATAATGCATATTTTAAGGTTTTCCTTGTCGTATAACACACCGAGGGGTGTCAGGATTTTTCAAATAATGACCGACCATGGGGACCATGATCTGACTTATATACCGTCAAAAACGGGAATTATTTAGAATAATGGTTTTCTCTCTTTTGCCTGGCAAATTCCTTATAATTATTTAATATGTCGAGGGTAATTAATTCCCTTACACGTGTCATTGTTTTATGCCTTGTATCACTTTTCATTGAAACTCGGAATCGTCCGGGTTGCTTCTTTAAAGAATGACCTATCGATCTGAAAGGAAATAACTCCATATCGTCATATAATTGAAGTGTATAAAAACTCCTTATTATCTGAAAACGTTGTGCGTTCAAGGCTTTGAAATAATGACAGAAATTAAAGATCTGTCTCAAAAAACTAAATGTTCGACCAAACACGAATATAATGAACAAATCCTTTGTTTACATTCTGCAATTCCTTTGAATAGTTTTCCAACATGAAAACATCAACATCTTTATGTTTATTAAATCTAAATGCTTCAAATATATCCGTCAAGCCACGCCGAGATCGATTGTTAGTTACCATGAATAATGTGCATGATAGTGATCTTATGTATATATAATTCGTCTAAACAACAGCCCAACAATGTAAGATCTGTAAATTTGCGGAAGCAAATTTTTTGTTCTTCTCTGGCTGGGATTCAAACTCATGATACTGAGATATCGTGGCACCAAATCGCCTTGCACTATGCCCGACGCGCTGGACCACTCCACCACCTAGGCTCTCTCTCTCTCTCTCTCTCTCTCTCTCTCTCTCTCTCTCTCTCTCTCTCTCTATATATATATATATATATATATATATAAGTCTAAATTGAAAACAACGTTCAAACCTATGATTGCGTTGGATAAAAACCGCAATTTTTATACGTGTGCATGCAAAACAAATTTCTTGTTGGAGAGGTCTAAATACAGCACAAACAACATTTTCCAAAAGACCAAAAAAGTGAAAAAGTATATTTAACAAAACGCATTTGACTAACAGGTCGAACAACAAATGTTCTTAAACCCTGCTGACTGCCATTGGCGATTGCCAAATAAACGGATCACCGATGTAATAAATGGATCTTAATTATAAGTTTAATACTAAACAGAAACAATAAACTTGCGGAAAAGATGATATACCCCAAACAAAAGGTGCAAAGGTTTTTGTACACCATATCCGGATTTCGACAATTAATGTCTCTTCAGTGATGTAAGGAATCGAAACGGTATTTGAAAGCCATACAATTTACCTCAATTTAGGATAGACTCTTGAATTTTGAGGAGTCAAAATAGGATGAACGGATCATATGAATCCGAAGGCAAATATAATACAAGCCCAAACGAAAAAGTATAATCAAGTCTAAATTGAAAACAACGTTCAAACCTATGATTGCGTTGGATAAAAACCGCAATTTGTATACGTGTGCATGCAAAACAAATTTCTTGTTAGAGAAATCTTAATACAGCACAAACAACATTTTCCAAAAGACCAAAAAAGTGAAAAAGTATATTTAACAAAACGCATTTGCCTAACAGGTCGAACAACAAATGTTCTTAAACCCTGCTGACTGCCATTGGCGATTGCCAAATAAACGGATCACCGATGTAATAAATAGATCTTAATTATAAATTTAATACTAAACAGAAAACAATAAACTTGCGGAAAAGATGATATACCCCAAACAAAAGGTGCAAAGG